GATTCCAGGGTGTCGTGTGTTTGCGGGAAGTGCATGGTAGCTGGCTCTAGAGTCTGCGCAGGTGTGAAACATGTGCTCAAACTTTCCCTTGCCAAATCTACAATCAGGGTCCCCTGGTGTTGCGAGCTTTTCGCCTTAGGCTACACAAGCAATGAAGATCATGAAAGCTGGAAGATTCCTTTTATGCATTGGTCCTGGACCAGACACCACTTTCATTGAAGAAGAATTGGAGCCCAGATGCAACAAACAATGCGAACACCCGAAATCTACGCTAAGCTAAACCCTAACCGTATAGGGTCTAGGTCGACCATCATCCCAAACTCCCGACCAGCCCCAAGCCCTGGCAACTAATTGCAAAGTGGCAGGCCAGTAGAGCCGATCCCCAACAAGGACATCTACGCTTCCCTTCTGCAATTATTGGTATTCAGTGTGAGTGGGTTACTGTCTGACTTGGGGTAAACAGTGGCAAATGGTTTTCTCATGGAAATGGTGCGTCTACTTCAGAGAACCCAACAGCAGGCAAAGTTTGATGCAGGTTTCGTGGGTTGTTTCTATGTCCATGTCCAGGACCAGGATTTGGAAACGCATGTGGGGAGTGCGCGAAAGTCGAGATCCCTTTTCGAAGGAGATTTGCGGGCTGTACAGGGATTGTCTGCAGTTTGAAAGTTTGGGGTCTTTTTTTGGAGATGCACCTAGAGTATGAAGGTGGAGGCAGCTTCATCGGGGCCCTCCTTCGTAGAAATACGGTTTTGATCATGCTGCATTTCTGCCTCATAACGAAGAGATGGCAGCCTGGAACTCCAGCTCAACCAATGCTATTGCTGCATGCAGTTCTCGGACATTGACACTACAGGTAGGATGTATCGCTCATTGCGCGTCTTAGTGTACTCTACCCTTTTCTATTACTCTACCGGTACTGTTGCTTGGTACTATTGACGGAAAATGTGCATCGCGAGAGTTAGGCCAAGAGTAAGAGTTTGCATGCGGAGAAGATGTTGCCAATACCTTTCTCCAGCTTCTCCTCGGTCATCATTCCTGGAATTATTCCCACAAGCTGAATTGGTGTCCTGAATCCCACGCCCCGAGCCCTTTACCTTACACCTACAATCTTAAATCACAAGGCCTTAAGACCCCTCCTGCCCGAAAAGTAGCTTGCCCTCAGCCATATGCCCCCGGAACCGCAGACTCTAAACCCTCAACCGCAACTCAGGATGTGCTGAAGTCCCAGGGCTGCCAGTTTGGCTTCCACAACGGACCACGTGGGGCAATGGGAAGGTAGTAAGCCCAAATCCGCTCTAAAATCTTATGAGTGTTATGAAGGGGTTATCTCTACAGGAGTGTCTACTGGTCGTTTTTACTGACAGGCTCCCATGCGTAAGCGGGTCTGTGTAAAGGGGTCGTTCAACAGTCAGGAGTCAGGAGCTAATTTTTAGAGTTTAGGGTCTGGGGGGGGCTCTCAAGTTGTTAATCTGGTTGTGCTCGATAAGAACTTGTGTTTCAGGGGTTCAGGTACGTGGAAACTAGCTTGAGACAAACCCAGCCCTTCGAGCAGAAGCATGCGGAAGCCATCACTGTGAGAAACTGGGTTGCTGTTAAGGA